CATCAAGACTAGAGTGTAACAAGGCTGCTCCTGATGTTTAGAGGACACATTTAAAGATGATTCTGGGAGGTTAGGGTGATTATTAAGGATGCTACACCATGGTCTATTAACCCTCTCCACAGCTCCTTGCATAGAAGGTCCCATGGGTGCCCCTCTGGCCTTGCCAGTCATTGTGAGGATGGTAGACCCCTGGCTTCTGTGCATAAGTAGAGCAAACTGGCCTCTAATGCTTCAAGCCTCTTCATTCCCAGGAATATTAACAAGCACAGCTCCATGACCATCTATCTCTCCCACCATCACCCTTGGTGAATGAAAGCCACCATTGAACATTAGTAATGCTGGTTCCCCTCTCAAAATCCCAGTCCCCATCTCATTGGAGAATGTAGGGCCTCTTCTGGAACAAATCTTTGGAGGCTCTTAGGCTCTTATATCTTTATTCATTCCTTTGTCACCTTCCAGGGGAACCAGGAATTTCCACATCAATGAGTGTTGGACATTGCTTTTTCCAGGCTCTAGGAGACAGCATAGCCATGAAGCCAGGTCTTTGCCCAGACATTAAGTCCCACATCTTGAGAAATTCTCCCAAGTCCATAAAGTCTAGCTCCAATAGTCTTACATGCCTGACCCCTAAGCAATATCGATTCCCAATAGACTACCTCTGACTGCAGCCAGAACAAGTTGTCTGGTGATTAAATTATTTCAGTATATAGATTCTATCTCCCTGACTAAGCCACCAGGTCTCCACTTACACTATATGGAATTTAACCCTTATATCAGCCTAGTACCTAGGAAAAGAGATGGGAACAGCTCCCAAAGGAAACATTTGTTCTCTTGCATAGAAGACACCTCTGAAACATCTTCCCGCTATCTCTTACTAAGGAAGAGTGAGTCACATCTGAATTCCAATTGTTCATAGGATTAAAAACGTGAAAATACTCAGACATATTTCCAGACATCCTTTTTTCCTATTGCTAGTCATGTTTCCCCCATCAGGATCCTAAGCTTCACAACACACCTGCCTTGCTAAGAATTCAGAGATTTCTGGAGCTCAACAACCATCCCAAGTAGATCAACATGTCACTAAACTCTGTATGTCCTTATACTATAGGAGATCAATTTCCCCTTGTAAGCTACCACATTGCCCCTCTGGCTCTCAAAATTAGCTGCTAACTAGATCTTAGACTCCTGTGGTCCCTCTTTAGGGCATCAATACAACTTACCTGTAAATATTTACCTACATATGTAGTCCAACATAAAATAAAATACTACATGTCATACAAAATAAAGAGGAAACAATTAATCCCTATTTCCACAAAAAA